TGAAAGAAAAATTAAAAAAAAAAATAGTACCGAAATTTTGTACGAACTTTTATTACGATAATTTTACATTGCCACCGTACGCTGCATCGGGCATCAATGCAGTCAATGCATGCAGTTGTATTACCACTAATTCTTTTTTTGGTCTCCAATATCGATACCTTTCGCAATGGGCTTTTTAATTTCATTTATTATTCCTTTTTCAAAAGATGTTTTTGTAGTTCAGATCAGGCAAGGGTCTTTTTAGCTCCTTGAGTATTAACATCATACACCAAAATTAATATTTAGAAGGATCTGGGCTCTATTCATCTATCATAATTCCAGCCACTAGCAGTTACAAATATTTGTATGCTTTTGTCTTCGATAGACACCCGATGTACTACGATTCGCAAATTAGATGTTCAAAATGGAATGAACATTGTTATTTTTCTAAAAACTATTTGAAGGCAAAATCAAACTTTACGAAAATTTGCTCTTACGCTCATGAACGTATTGCAGTAACGTTTTACAAATCTGTTGTCGCCCAGTCACATTAAGGTAATGAACACCCTGGCTACCGATCAGCATGAGAAAATAAAATATTTGTCACAACTTTCAGATTGGTACACAAACAATAGAACGCTCAAGTGAAACATGAGAAATATTCAAAGCTAAAGAAGATATGTCATCGGTCAAATAATGTGATATTTCTTAAATTATTTAAATCTGTTCCACATTAATTCAAAGAAAGTGCAACAAATAAGATTTTCATGGTAATGGGTTTCTGGGTTGGTACGATTTTTGGGATCTCTTTCTCTGTCTATGTCTCTCTCTCTCTCTCTCTCTCTCTCTCTCTCTCTCTCTCTCTCTCTTTCTCTCTCTTTCTTTCTGATTTGGTAAACTCTAAATCCATTTTTTTTATAAACTGACGTTATTTCATACAAAAATTACTCAAAAACTACTCGTTTTTCAATAAATTGTGAATTATTAAAGATACATTTTAGAACTAAAAATTAAAAATGTAATTTCTTTAGAACATATTATATAAAGAAAATGTATCTATCATCAGTATTGCACTTATGCAATGTTAAATTCTTGTTTGCACTTTTTGAAAATACAGAGTTTGCCGAATATGGTACTTGCGCCAGCTGATGAGCGTACTTTGCTCTGTTCATGGGAAGGAAACGGTGCTCTTGTTTAGAAAATATTTGTTTAAAAATTGCTTATATTCAACATTATGCAAAAAAATTATTTCCGAAAAATTGTTCTTGACCTTATTTAAAGATCTACCTTTGAAGAACCGATTTCACTGAAAAAATTTATCTATATTCAAGTCTGTAGTTGTAGGACGCCAAAAGATTTTCAATTTTTTCAATTTTTGAAACTTTAGATATTTCAATGAAAATGCCGCCATCTTATAAGCATCTTTTGCTGAACTATCAAAGCAAAAAAGTAATTCATCAATTTGGAGCAAATTTTGAGAAGATTATTGTTAATGCTTCTTGTAAAGTTTCTTTCAAAATCAAAATAAGTTTCAAATTAGTAGGGCATCAAGTTCAATCAGAACGATCTCAGAATATCAGTTTTGGAGTAAATAGTCCGAGGCACTAGAGTTGACCCCAAACTGATCGCCAAGACGGAGACAGCCTTGAACCACTTTTTCGGTAGGACACGTAAAACGAGAATTCTGAAAACGTAGCGTGTCAGAGGAACGAATTTATCCCCGTTTTTCGATATCATGACCCAACAGTACGGTGACGAATAACCGCCACTTTCAGCTTCAGCATTACAATACTTTATCTTTACTACAAAAGTATGTAGAAGGTGAGAAAGATACTGGAAGGAAAGGGAAACTATCGTATCCAGGATAGCACAGAAGTTTTATGAACTTCAAAGAGAAATACTTTTGTAAATTTTGTTGCAATTGCATGAAATACATGGGCCGAATTTTTATTCTCCAATCGACTGTTAAACCTCTACACAAGTAGGATTTGGGAACGTGCATTGATCTCTTTCCCCACAACCTCTCGAACTAACGACGCCGTATCACCAATTTGTGCTTAGCTTTAGGGACAAGATAGTTGATGCGATTTACTCTCCCACAAAATGCGACTTGCTTAGAGGTTCGTTCAAGAAGAGGGGAAAGGAGCAGAAATTAAAAGAATGGACCGACAGTACGGTGACTTTCAAATGAACGAAGAGGAATGCTGGCTTCTGCAGATGTCCTCTTCCGTTGCTACACCTGCCCTCACAGTGCTGAAGCCGGACGTCTGGAGCAGATGGAAGTTGCTTCATCACCCGGTCAATTGGGCCCCGACTTGGTGTCGAATGATTTTCATCTCTTCCTCGATAAGAATTGATTGATTAGTGATTCCGGGCACGCCAATGGCTAAGATCGCCTGTCCCGTAAGTGTAGTGTATATCTCCCCCCTATGAAGGGTGAGGCCAAAGCCCTTCTACCTGTGGACTAGCGGGGGTTTCATTCCACCAGCGGGGCACCTCCCGGCGTCAGGGCCGTGTTAACGCAGGGGCTCCGTAGCGCCCGGACCCCCAACGTTCAAGGGCTCCCGACAGTTCTTAAAACATATTTAATACTAAATTTTTCAAAAAATAAAATAAAAAAGTATAAAAAGTGGTGTAATTAAAAATGTATTATTCTTACTTATAGTATGTTAATTTTTTTTGTTTGAATAATGATTAAAAAACACTATGAAATACTTTCAAAATATTAAAGAAAATACAAAATACAATGTGAATTGATATGATTTTCTTTATATTTCAGCATCGAAATTGGGAGGGGGGGTGGAGATAGGTGAAAGTTAGAATAGGGGCCCCCAAATTAACCTAGGCTCAATGCTGTTAAAACGGCCCTGCCCGGCGTTTGTGGGAGTGTTGTGCAAGTATGTGCAAGTAAAGGGTAAAGACAGGACGAGACGAAGGAAAATCGTGCGCGGTTCATTGTTGGGATCTGTACCAGCATTCGCCTGGTATTGACCGGAGAAACCACGAAAAACTACAGATCAGAGCTGCCGGCTGTTAGAATTCTCCTCCAAACAGCGACTGAATTAGACCTAGCTGTCCAGCTAGTGCCGAAGATCCTGCCACCGTCGGGATTCGAGCCCTTGCTCCTCCCGGTCAGGGGCATTGCAGTGACCTCAGTTGATGCTCTACTTCCGGTTTCTCGATGTGAAGAACTGGCTAGGACACCATAGCTTCCAGAGCAATGTGAAGCTTCAAAGCAAATGTACAGCCCATCTCGCATCACTGGCGGCAACGTTCCAGCTCGCCCACAGATAAGACACTTGCCCGAGTGTTTATGGTGACTATGTAGGAAATTAATCATGTTTGCAAATAAACTTTGCCAATAAATTAATTTTTCATTATTCGTGTGTGTGTGTTTTTACGTGGGCAGGGGAAAATCTTCTAAAGACACAGCGGGGCCCGCAACCCGCAGCGTGTGGGATTCATAGCTAGCCTATGCCTACCCACTAAAAACCCCTCCCTTTCCTCCTATTCCTTCCCGCGGAACCGCCGTCAGGCATTGCATCGCGAGAAGGAAGGATGAGCTTTTCGCACGTCACCGAAATATTACGGGAGTCTTCTTCGTAACTGCTCCTCGGAGCGGAGCGTCTTCAGGACCTTTGCGGCATAGGTGGCTACCGCACTCCAATACTCTTGTGTCAGCAGCATCCTAGTGACGATGGTCTCAGGGGTCACTTCCTCTTGGAGGAGTCTGTGAAGTTCTTCCCTTTCCACTGCGAAGCGTGGACAATGAAAGAACACGTGTTCTTCATCTTCAATCACCGGGAAACACCTTGGGCATGAGGAGCTATCGTCCAACCGGAATCGGAGCTGATACTGCCGGTAACATCCATGCCCTGTCAGCATCTGAGTTAGATAAAAATCTAATTCTCCATGTTCCCTTTGAATCCACGTCATGATGTCGGGAATGACCCGAAATGTCCATCGTCCAGTTGATGATTGCTCCCATCGTCGTTGCCATTGGTCCATTGTCACCCCCCTCTCTTCTTTCGTAATGGTATTCCAGTTTGAGGCCCCCTCCCGCTTGCGCAAATAGAGTCTAGCTCTCTCCTGCGCAATGAGGTCGATCGGAGGCATATCTGCTAACACACACACAGCATCATAGGATACGGTGCGAAACGCTCGAGCAACCCGCAAGGCGGACCTTCTATGCACCGACTTAACCCCACGGGCGTATGACTGAATGCCCATGGCATCAGCCCAAACAGGGGCTGCGTAGAGAAGAATGGAATTTACTACGCTAGTCAGCAGCCTCCGGCTTCTTTGCCCAGGACCCCCTATATTAGGCATAATGCGTGCCAATGCGGATGCCATACGAGATGCTTTCTCGGAGACATTGCGCATTGCAGGTGTGTGTGTGTGTGTGCGTGCGTGTGCGTGTGCGTGTGCGTGTGTGTGTGTGTGTTTGTGTTTGTGTTTGTGTGTGTTTGAGACCATCATTGTTGTACTGCCTTCATATTACGGATGTATGATATATCGATTGACTCATGGTCTTGATATTAATCATATCATCTTTGTCATCACAGTCACATTGCATTTCATCACAATAATCTATATTACTAATTTATAATGCAAACATTGAATGTAAACTATGTAAACAGTGCAGCCTTCGACCATGTGTGAGGTGCATGCGGTTTCGTTAGATACTCAGGAACTTGGGAATAATACAAAAACATCTACATCACTAATTTCAAATATTTGATTCTGTTATTCCACCTATTCTCATAATGTGAGTACCTCCCTGCTCGTGACTCACAGCTAACGTCATGCAACACTACGACTCCTAGGAAGAGACGACCTGCCAATAAAAAATTCCTATTCAGGTGTTGCGTGTAATATTAAACAGTAACTTTTTTTATATTCTTGATATGAAAGAACTGTTGTACTGTTTATGTACTATACTATATTATTGCAGTGTCATGGCAACTGTTTTATTAAAATATTTAATGTATTGGCATGTTTTATGAGAGTATTTTATTTGTTGTTCTTGAGCAGTGTAAGGGCTACTTTTTGGAAAACCATTTTGTATGGTTTTGTCCGCAATTTTTGTTACTGCAGACCACTATACCTGTATATCATTGCAATTTAATTTCAGAATAACTTGTCTGCATTGATCATACTATCCTACATTACAAAGCACTGGAAACACTAACATGAAAACTTGACTCAAAATATTTTTAAAACTTTAAAATGAAATATAATAAAATTAATCTTTATTTTCAAGCTTGAAAAATATGATCTTCAAATTAGAATTATTCATCATAAACAAAATTGGTGAAAACATTTTGAAATATCAATTTGAAATTCAGAAATATTTCCACTTAAAATATGAATGTGATTGTGGGCAGTGTTTTTTGGTATTCTTGATAAATGCAAAAATTGACTCAGAGCTTTGATTTTCAGAATTTTCATGATTCATGTTATTTTAAGGTGATCTACGGAAATGGATTTCACATACATTTACATGAATTTTGCATTATTTGCATTGCCTTATTTACTTATATGCATTTCGCAAATGAAAGTATTCATTTTGTAGGAAAATCATTTTTTTCTTATCAGTATTCATTCTATTGTGAAACATAACTTTATATGCCACATCTTAAATTATACCAAAGTAATGCTGTGCAAATTCGACGTTTTGAACCTGTTGTAGTGCATGTAATAAGTTAATCATTTTTTAACCCTTTATTTTGTAGAATAAGCAGGGTCCTTCCCACAGATATTAATATGCTCTAGTCTATGGAACTCTTGGACATAATAATCAGTAATACTGAGATCACAAGTGGCACTACTCACTTCTTATAGAAGTGAAAGTGAATTTGGATAATCTTCAACCTCTTCTTCTTTTGTCATCTTGAGAGAGTAGATTACGAAGGTCAAGATCGCATTTCATTATCTCTTTTCCATTGATACAACATATTATTAGCCCTACGTTTATAAAGAGAAATATAAAGGTTTGGATGATACCTAATTTTGAACAGACACTATTATTCTTCAAATTTTTAAAAACAAAAATTATGTAGGAATGCAAAATTACTTATGTAAGTTTCAATCTAACTCATAATATAATGTGTTCCTACTATGTAAATCAGCTTCAAAACCAGTATTTCACACTTGACACAGGAAGTGTGGAGCTTCCATGTACCTTCTGCAGTCAGACTCCTAAGAAAGTATCTATGCTTCAAAGGTTTAGCAAATTTATTAGAAAACAATTTTTAAGAAAATAGCGCTATTCTCTTGCCTCAACACAACATAATTGATCATTTTGTTGCAAAAGTGGTTTACAAAACATATCACTTGCAAACATTATATACAACAAGAGATACCACACAATCTAACATATTGGCTCACATGTAGATACTTAATTTGTATCGCAAACAATAATCATTCACATTAAAGTGAATTATTAATTTGATTCAGTCTTGGTAATTTGGCAATGTTTAAGAGACCTTTTCATCAGCAAGATGATCATTGTCAGAATTTGCCACAATAGTAGCTTTTACAGCTTCCATAGGAGATTTGTAATCAGCTTCTTCTGGTTGACCTAGAGTAAGAAAAGAATAGTGTTTCATTACTGTTTTGTTTTCACACAAGTTGTAATAATCTAATATAACATGTAGGCTATGCAAGTGCCATAAACTTACTTGCTGGACTAGCAATGTTCTTCAAATAAAACTCGTAGATAACATAATGACTGATACCACATGCTAACGCAATACCTGCAAATACTTTAAAGGCATTACTTCCTCCAAGCCATTTTAGAATGAAGCTTCCCAGAAGACTTCCAACAGCGTAACCTGGTAAAATATCATAATTAATTAAAAATAAGATATTTTCTTTTTCACTAGCAATAATGTACATGGCTTAAATTTCTTGCACTTTAAAGTACATGATAAATATAAAAACTATTATTAGAGTTTTACAGAAGAGATTTAAAAAACATAAATAATTGTTTTGATATCATCCGTGTTAATACATCATTATATTTGTTACAGTTAAGGTTACACCAACTCTAAGTAGTTTCTTGCTTCTTAAAGTGTACATAACTCATTTTCATGAAAAAGTACACTTAGTTGATTTTGCAGTCATAACGAGCCATCCATAAATTACATAATGCAAATTTAGAGTATTTTGAATACCTCATCCCCTTTTGTAACACACCTTTAATGAGCACTTAACTCTCCCCTAAATAATAATTATGCAACACTCCCTCCTCCATTTACAATAAGTAAAAATAAATTCCAAAATACCTAAAACAAATTGTATTATTTTTATTTATGTTACAGATTAAAAGCGATAATAATTAGTTAGAATTAGTTGGCAATGCTGATTTCATCACATACCAATAAAATTAGAAACAGGTTTTGAGTGAAGAAAGAACGTTTGTGCATGTGAGAAAATGCCTGACAATCGGAACACACTTAGCTGTGGTTGATACATGGATGAGAGTCAACTACACCACTTTAATTGGATTCTCGAATATGCTATAGATCAGTTTTGAATATTTTCTTTGTAATCTAATAGATTCAATGAATATACCAAAGTACCACCACCCACCCTTACGTAATGCAGTACAACACTGCCTCAAACCTCCCAATCCCTTCTTAGCAATATGTAATTTATAGATGACCCCTAACAAGATGTTATCTCTCACAGGATTTGCAAAGCCTGTTCTATAGCTTTTTTTTCTTGAAATTCTGAAATTGTTTTTGCTTATAATTCTAAATTTGTATGGTCCAGCAGTTTTTCAATGAGTTTCATTTACTTCTATTGTAACCATTCAGATCATCATTCATATAAAATATTATTAAGTATTATCTGTTGCCATCATTTAAATGGCTTTATTTTGATTAGTATCTTTTAATTCTTAAATTTTATTTACATTCCACATACCTATTATTCACAACACACACTTAATTTCTATTCTAGAATAATAGAATGGTGGAACCACAACTTCCTTGAATTTAATAATATTGTTTAAACTATAATTTTCCTTAAGAATTTGTTATTACATATGAGTTTGATATATCCTTAACCTTGCTCATCCATTCTTCCATTTCAGATATTAAAGATTTACTAAAATCTAACTCTTACCAAAGCCATCATCCATTCCTGCTACAATGCCCTGCATAGTAGCAGATGTTCCTGGTGGAGATACAGCACTGGCATACACAACAATTGTGGTGTAACACATGGCATAGGTGGGACCTTGCATAAATAATTCAACTGCTAGGAACCACCATGGGTTGGAAATCACTGATATTAAGCCAAGTCTCACAGCATACGCAATGAAACATAGTGTCAGTGAATGTCCGTATCCAATTAATTTCAATATTTTGCCTGTGAATATTACAACTCATTTATTATAATTATGAACACAATAATCCTCAATTTATCAATTTGAAATATTTATGACTTACCTGACAGCATGAAAAATATAACTTCACCAACCAATGTCTCAGCAGCTATTATTAGACCCTCTAGAAATTTGATATTATCCATATCACCTGTCAATTGAGCTAGATTTTCTAAATACCTAGAAAAACAAAAATAACAAATGTCAAAATAAATAAACATTTATAATTTCAGTTGATCTTCATCAGTTAACAAAAAAATATCTGTTACTAACCAGAATAAATAGTAAATTATAAAACTGTCTACAATGCCTGCAAGAACACAAAAAACTATAAAAACAGACACGTGTCTATATTTCATAAGTTTCCCCAAGTCTTTGAAGATATTCTCAGATCGAGGCAAACGAGGCAACTGGAAAATAACAAAGGTTTCATTAACATTAAAAATGAGTATAAAGAAATCTTTAAGAAATCAATTAATTTATTTTATTTATTTATTCAAATGATAAATTACCTTGAGGATAGTGCAGCAGTAGAAATCAAATACACCAAAGAGCAGTATAATTATAAATGCAGGAGTGTAATCCTTAATGACACTATCTGATGACCACTTATCAACAGCATATCCAGAAACAAGAGCTGATACTCCAAATCCAATTGTTCCCCATACACGTTGCATACCATATCCCATTTCTGCACCATCACCTATAAGCAAGCAATTTATTAAAACAATCATTAATGTAAATGTTTGAAGATAAAATGTATATTAACCTCATATCAATTTGGATATTTTGTTCGTTTTATTTTATTTTAAAATATTTTTAAGTTCATTTTTTCAAATAGAACGTATTACAAACAAGATTAATTAAATGATGGATTATTCATTAACAAGCTCAAATATGTCTACCACGTTTCTGGAAACTTTCATCTACAGAAAGGAGCATTACATTTTTATAACAAGCTAAGAAATAGCTTACCATTAATTTTACTTACAAATAGAAAAAATGTTTTTTTCAACAAGATAGCTTTAACTGTTTTGCCACATCACAACTATTATTTGGAGATCATATCCAATGAGAGTAAAGTAATATTTTTGTCAGAGTTTGAACACAACCTTGTCCAAAACTCTCAGTTATGGAAATAAGTAATTTAAATGTTTTTGTTATGTATTAAATCAGTTTTCAAATAATTATTTAGTAATGTTCATGTAAATCAGCATTAAGTAAAAACTCATAGCTATGTTCATATTGATAGATTTATTGTTAACTGCCAGTAGTTGTTCCCACACAAACCACATGTACAGACTTGGGTCATTGAGCTAAATAAAACATGCACAATTCAGATCTTAAAACTTAGTGTAACCCAACAGTTTTCAGGCATTCTCATCATGATACACTTAAAAGCAATAAAGGTCACAAGTTTTTAATAACAATATCTTACCAAGAACATCGAAACAAATTGCATCACTAATGCTGTTGGCCACATTGAAGCCAATTGTTCCCAATGACATAAGTATCACAAAACTCCAAAATATAGGAGTCCCATACAGACAATTTGCTGCTGCATCATCAAGAACACAGACTGCATCACAACTGATATTACTGGCAAATGAAAAGTTTTCATTTGAGGCAGCACAGAGTTGTAAGTTTCCAGTTTCATTTTCACTGTTCGCTTGAAAAAGGATCATTGAAGAAATGTTACTTCTAAATCCATCTGTACAGTTCCATTTGCACAGTGTTCTTCTGGCTTCACCGCAATAACTACTGGCAACTATTTCCTAAAACACACAAAACAATTGTTGTCAATCACATGGAAGATATTTTATGCGTAATTATTTTTGTTAAGTTATTTAATAAAAATATTTCTTTCCAGTACATAGCTGCCTAAGCAAACATTAATATTAATTGCTATTCATTTTCCTTGGCTATTTATAGCCAAGACATAATAAATATTTAACTTGCCATTAATCAAATTATAAATGTTGATTAATCAAAATATTGTTTGGGATGGAATTGTAGAATACTCACAGTCTCACCACACAATTCTGGAGGTACTTGTGTTATTTCATAATAGTTGAGAACAGGTACTGTTGGTTGTGGGATGAAGTACATTAAAATATAAAATATATTTGTAAAGCAAACAAGAAGAATAAAAATCAATTTGCGTTGCTCTTGAAAGTAATCAACTACAATCCCAAAAGCAGGTTTTGCAACTAAGAATAATAGTGGTAGCAAAGAGTTGATGCTACCAATCACAATTTCTGACACTCCCAGTTGTTTGCCAAATACATTTAATTGGTGAAGAATGGGCCCCAAAGCTGAAACAAAAAGAAGAGGACTTAATTTGAATTTTCTATTCTTAACCAGCTTTTATCAACTTCTTAATTCTTTTTCCATTTTAGTTCATTAAATTTTATAATAATTACAGACTATTTGGTAACTACATAAAATATTCATGAGTTCTGCATGTAAATAAAAACTGAATAGGTTCTTTAAAAGTCAAAAATTATAAGTAAGCATTTTATTTTTTTATTTATTATATCAACTTCCATTATATTTTACACATTTCAAAATTACTTTGATTGCACTCACCGGCCATGAAGAAGAAGAAGTGGGCCTTTATAGGCAGTAATTTGTAGTTGATCTTCACCATGGTGATGATAAAGTCACCTGCAGCAAAACATATATGAGATTATGTTAATAGAGATTATTACATTTTCCATTAAATACTTGCTTCCTGGCTTGCAACTTGGCAGGTGCTGGCCTAAGGCCTCAAAGTCACCAAAGTGACATATTAATGATACAAATAAATGTAAAACATCTTGGTCACAGTAAAACTGTCCTTCCCTTAGATTCAAACTCGTAACTAAGCGGCGCTTTTTCCAGCGGCGCTTCTCTCCTTGGCTGTGAGGAAGTACGTACATTATCAGTTTCCGCACGTAATTCGCGCCTCTGACCATTGCAACTTCAAAGGAGGAAATTGCTCTAATGATGAGTCTAGTTACACGCCTGTTTCAGGGACTTGTGGCGAGCACGGGAAAGCACCTAATGATGTCCCGTTTACTCAGAATAAACTTTTCAAAGCGGGTGACCGTTGGGTATTGGAAGTAGTCAGTATTAAAGAATGCAAATTTGATACAAAATAAATAAAAGGGTAATGACTGTTGCTTCTTGCACAATAGTACAATTCCCTGAATCAAAGTGTCTTGAGTAGGTGCTTCAGAGAAGAGGAGAATTGCAATGATCAAATCATTCAAGTTTATGGATGGTGTTGGCATGAGTGACCAAAACGTAAATAAATCGCATTTCCATCAGGAGAAAAAGTAGTGAAGGTGAATTCATTCATGGATTCTTCTCACTTTAATACACAATGCATGGATCCACTGGAAGAGTTCAGGAGACACAATGCGCCACCATGAATTTAGAGGCCACGCGATAAGAAGTTGAACCTGAGTGATTTTGGTGTGCAACCGAAGGGCGCAGGCAATCTATTATTGCAATATTCAATAACAAGGCAATTTTGACTGACCTCGATAGCCGAGGTGGTTAGAGCTTGTGCCGACTCAACGCCTCGGTCTGAAGGCTCGCGTGTTCAAGTCCCGCCATGGGCAGGGCTGTTTGTCCTTTGCCTTTCACGTATGTGTTGTCGCGGAAGGCCTTGTGAGTCTCCTGACCACAGATCGAGGAGCCTGCATACGTGTGTAAAAATGGTTAATATGTGGCCCTTGAGGAACATAGTGGGAACCCGGCGCGGATATGCGAAATCGACAACCCCTGAAACGGGAAAAATCGCCAGGAAGAAAAAAAAAATGACAACAATTTTGGACAATCGGGAAGATAATGTAACCGTCAGCGCTGTACCTTTAAGCGGTGCTCCTAACGAACAGGAACTGATTGTACAAAATGTAATATGGGGCTTTGGGTTTCTTGCTTTTAATTTTATCATACCAATCACATTTTGCTTTTCGCTTCGTTTCCTTTTTATGATAAATTCAACTGTTTCAGCTAAATATTTATATTCAAGAAATATTTCAATGTTTTATGCGTAACCAATTATGAAATAGTTACAATCTTGTGAAACAAAATGTAGAAGATTTGGAAACACGTAAACGCAGATTAAAAGCTAGAAGCAATACATTGCGAATAAGTTACTAACGCTGTTTACTTTCAGTTTGTGGTAATTGCCTTTCTTCTGCAATAAGTGCGTGTTATTGTCCTCTCAGTGAGTCCCTTTAAAATTATTTGTAATCAATCTTATATAGTGTATAATGTACATATAAAAGATATAACATAAATAATAAAATATAACATGTACACATAAAAAATAATTTAAGCTTTAACTAAATCGGCTCATTATTTCTCTAACACATATGACATTTTTTCTTGATGGCAACTCGTCTTAAAGCGTTCTAAATTGTACATTATTGCTGCATTCATCAAGTAAAAGATCATCGATCATAGGAAATACGAAGCACCATGAAATCATGAAGACGTCATTTTCCTTGACATTCGCATCGTTCGAAACATATATTGCAGTGTTTTTAAAACTGTACTATTTATATTAATATCGCAAAGTTTTTCGTATATGGCAGGCGTGTCAAAATGTGCCCGGCTGAGAAGCCCGACGCTCCCGCGGCTACGTGCAACTTCCCCGACTCCGCTCTTATTTCTCCTCTAAATCCAAAAAGGAGTGTCCATGCGCAAACTAGAAGCACAAAGCGCGCTCGAAATATCACGATGAATTGTTGCTTCGTAAGAAAACGTGTGCCGAATGTTTTCTAATGGACAGCCTACGTCTCAATTACGTTTATTTATATTATAAACTTAATTTAATGTATACTTTTTATAAATTCTGCCTTGCGCCTAGATAATCATTGTTGCAAGGACAGGAATACATTGGAATTGAATGTGTCTTGCAAGTTTTGTTTTGTGATGTTTCATGTAATGATTCTGTTGCTGTTTAATGCGAAAATAAATTAACAAGTCCCTATGTATTTTATAACAAGTAAAACCTCCTCTTACATTTATTATATCACTCACACGGGCTGAAAGCCTATTTAACAATCTTTGTTTCTACTCCGAACGTAGGAAGTTAATGCAATTATTGCCCTCACGTAAACGCGATGACGAAATCAAGATCCCTGCGATTCAGAAAGTTTAATTTTTTTCTTAATCGATAAGTTCCAATTTTTTCTGGCGTATTTTATTATAATGGATTATATCACTTTTAAATCTGAAAAATGGGAATTAATGTAGTATCCGGAGCAGTAACTGCCAATCTACTTCTCCAAAAGGCTGTCTTGGGACAGGTATCTTCCATGGGGCACGGCTAGGTATTCAGTGACGTACTGACCCTCCCCCGGGAGAAAATTGTACGACCCTTACTAATAAACATCGCGGCTGTTGCTTTGAACGCAGTGCTCGCGACCTCTAAAGTTATAAGTTTCCTTGCCTGCAAACTTGACATACCTGGTGTTCGAGTTGACTTAACTATTGCAGAAGGCACAGCAATAGACGGATGGGAATACGCGATTATCTGTGAATGTTCGTTTTGCCAAATTGATGCATCACCAGATTACTAGAGTACAAAACTGGATCAACGGCTATGTGATATTGCCTGTTAGTATGTGTATAATCTCTCACTAGCAAGAGCGCCTACGACCGAGAATCAAGTTAACACGCGAAGTGTTCTTGAGATTTCTAGCAATTGCTTTGTCTACGCGAGCTTTTGTAATTATATTATGCTGTGAAAATTCTCCAAGAACACCTCTAACTTAGGTAATTTTGTGTCTTTTCTGTTTTATTGTTTTGCGTCGTGGTGTTAACAGTTGTGTGGCCAACAAACTGTATTGGCGATAATAATGAATACCACGAATTGAATGTCACAAATCGATGCCCATTACCAAAAAACAAAAGAAGAAAAGAAATAAATCATATGGGAGGCAGATAAAACTTTCCAGACTCATATACTTCAAGGAATAGCATGCATATCGGAAATGTCATGCAAAACCTTTAACCTCACTTGATCTAGATACACAGTCTAAATAAATTGTTTCGGATTTCGAAACGAAAAAGCATTTGAGGAGACCAATATTTAAAGTAATCGCAAAAAATTGGATGTTTTCTTTCTATATAATGATATACTTTACGTTCTGTAGATATGTTCACGATTGCAAATTTTACTGTCATGGTGCAATATTAGTGAACGTCCGGCGCCTCCCGCATCATTTGGCAACATCAGAAACAATCTTAACATTTGCGCATCGCCATTGATCAGTCTACGTCAGTGTCCCAGGCAATAACGTTACCCCTCCAAATATCCCCTGAACCTTTTGCAAACATTGAGATGCGGTATTTACTGAAATGAATGTATGATGCGGTATTACTAAAACGATGTATAATGTTATCATGTAATGTAATTATCTTTTTTATTACAGAGATATCGATGCAACTTCGATTTTACAAATGGAAACCTATAGATTTATTTAGCCAATGATAACGTGAGTGACGAGTTCATAAATAAACATGTCGCACTACGTTTCATAACAATATTTTTCAGAAATGTTTCTACGACACACGCCGACATATTCTGTAGGCTCAGCGAGAAAACCGGGGGACATATGATGTCAGACAGTTTTGTTCTGTGGCGTTGGCTCTTCGGAGGAGAGATTGCGTTGCCAAGCCGAGTTCTGGGATGAACCCGTATATTTCACAAAGTTACCGATATATACCAAAATTCGTCTCTGGGTCAGCCCTTGAGTTAATACTTATACATATATTAATATACTTATACTATATACATATATTAAGTATTAACTCAGTGGCTGATCCAGAGACGAATTTTGTGAGGGGAAATTCAAAATGTTTTGGTCGAAGGTGTCATATTACAGATTTTGTAAAATGTAGGCTCCACTACCTCATGCGGCTACACGATTTTACTCGTTTGAATGATTATTCTAAAATAGTTTAGCGTGAAAGTTTCGTGATAAGTTAAAATTAATAGTTACTTCCAAAATTTAGGGGGGCGGGAGAAATTTCCCTCCCCGTGGATCCGCGCCTTATTGCCTCCTGCACTTCCGTGAAAACCGCATTGCAATATCTTCAACCGTTCAAAAATGAAAATATGTGCCAAGTTATGACTCATTCTATGTATACTACATTACGGTTTTGCAATATTCGTGAAGACTGTGTTAAAATTTGTAATTTATTGCGGTGTTATATGTGAATATTTTATTTGTCGTTTTTGGGCAGTGTTCATGCTACGATTCACAAAACCATTTTGTGTTGTCTTTCTTCTTTTGCTACTGGAGGCCACTAGTATGATTCAGAGTGCTCATACAGGAATACATTGCAGTAAGAAAGAAATATCTGGCATAAGTAATGAAAATATAGAACAGTTTCGAAGAAGTTTTTCAATTTTATATATTTCTAAGGGTTTAGCTATATTAGGTCTACTTGAGTAAAACAAGTTTAAAGAAAAAAATCGAGCCATTTTTAGAAAATTTTGAAAACGTCTTAACGACTTCGTGTAAATTAAGTTACCGCAGAATTAAAGATCCGTTTCAATTTATCAGGGTCTCGAGTTTGGCCAGGTCGATCGGGGAACATTTATTTTGAGGAAAATACTGTTTAGACACTAGAGTTGGTCAAACAATCAAACCTTTCTAGGTGTGGATGGACCCCCAAAACACTTCCATTCCATTCAGAATCCTGACATCGATTTTTTGCAACATAAGTTAATGTTCTCAAGCTGCATGAACTAGGTTCTACTTTTGGCAGAAAAAAAAGCAAACATACTTGCTTTTTTTAAATACGTAATAATGCAGCAGAAATCGCTTTGAGAACTGTTTATCTTCAATTAGCAAGAGCTTCAATCACGAGCAAGCAATCAGCTCATCTACTCTCGAGGAAATCTCCAACAGCGACGCGGAACAGATGAAACACCCTTATCTTCACATCC